CAGCCCCCGACCCTTGCTCTTGCTTCCGACCCTTATCCTCAACCCTCGCTCCCATCACCCCACCCCCAATCCTTGCCCTTTACCATTGCCCTCAACCTCAACCCCCGACCCTTACCCTTTGCTTTCGACTCTTAGCCTCAACCCTCGCCCCAAACTATTGCCCTTTGCCATTACCCCCAACCCTCAGCCCCCACTCTCGCTTCTGACCCTTAAATTCGGTTCTATAGCTCCAACCCTTGCCCCCACCCCCAATTTTTCACCTCATCCCGTTAGCTTTTAGTTGTCAGAGCACGGGGAAAGTTTTAGCCAATAATATTAGCGGCTAATATTACTCTCAGGTATACCGGCAAGTATGCCTATACACGAGGCAAGCATTAGCGGCCAGTATTTGCCAGTGCGTTGCTAGAAGCCGTTGAGTCAAGACGATCTGCACTCCGCGAAAAACAAAGAACGTAACAATCATAATTAGTATTAGGAGGTTTTTTACGAAGACTTGTGAAAATGTTGTTGTTGAAAACTTTTTCAATCAACGTATAGAGTGGTGCGTGGAAGACTTGGTAGAACTTTATTTTGTAAAGCGACGGAGCGACATACACCCTCTCACCACGGCTGCAGCAGCCACACTAGCTACTTACCGGCGTATAAATTCGAACGGTTTTGACTTCAGATGCCCGCGTACAGGCACCTTTTATTCAATAATTTGCCTTTTATTATAATAATTTTGAAATTGTGAAATAAATTTATTTAATCAAATTTTAAGCATTTCAATATATGTTTATCATAATTGAACTTGCTGTCTAACCCCAGCGACCCCCTGGACGGGTGGGAGGGGGCGGGGTTCGTGGACGTGGTGGTTGCCCCCCACCGCCGCTCCGCCATCACCGCCGCCGCCACCGCCGCCGGGGTCGCCGTCAGCGTCCTGCTGCCCGACCTCCAGCGGTCAGCTGACCACTGAGCTGGCTCTGACATCAGCTGACCACTGACTAGATATAGCATTAGTGTACTTAAATCATTCAACAACAACTTGAGTTCAACGAGAACTTAAAAGCAAATAGAACGCCATGTAAACGTNGAAATGTGTCTCCAACATATCTATGGTAAAATTTTTCGTGAGAATGTGAATGACGGAGTGTGGTCCGTCTGAACTGCAACTTTTACAACAAGTTTTCAAATTATTAGTTATGAACCCTTTTTTCTTATTTACTGCAAATTTGGGATAAAATTGTCGGCTTAGGCATTGGCTTTCCCCCAGGTTATTGATGAACAATTTCAAAATCGATTCCTTCTCCAGATATAAAGATATTATTCATTCACTGTATTCGGTTTCCCTGCTGTGTGAATACAGTTGTGCGCGTTACGCATCAGCATGCGTCGTGACGATGTCGCGTAACTTTTGCATCCGAGTTTCTGAACAACGTGGCAGTAATTATCGCTCGAATCTGTCGCTTGCCCATCCGCCTCACTCCGCTTTGGGTCTTCACACTGAACAGTTCTACGTGACTGCGTCTGGTAGCGAAATACACTCGGTTCCACACCTGGTGATTCGGATTCAAGGATTTTGGAATCGCTGCATACTATTTAAAATGAAATCTTGCCCTAACAACGTATACAGTTCACATCCTCTTGAAATTCTCAAGCGATAATTTTTTACGTTCCGTTGTCAGTTTTTCCTTACATAAAATTCAATTTCGTTCATGAAGACTAAACGTTTATCAATTGAATGCACTTTTTCTTTAATTTTCGAACTGACAATGGAGTTGTTCTCCATAATAGAATGTATAACGTATTCATTGACGATACATTGAAGATATTATACACGTGATGATGATTTTAAATGGCATTTTGATTTTCGCTGACCAAAGACTTAACTATTCGTTTATTTTACGTCAGTTCCATATCTCTATATATATCATATCTCAGGTCCATCGCCGAGGAGCGTCGGGGTAACGGAGTACACGGAAGCTTCAAGACCGGAGCCTTCTCTCTCACCCAGTACCACCCCTACGATGAGGTGGGGGCGTTGGGGTGAAGTGGGGTCTATAGGCTCCAGTACCACCCCTACGATGAGGTGGGGGCGTTGGGGTNTGACTAGATATATCATTAGTGTGCTTTAATCATTCAGCGACACCTTGAGAGCAATGAGAACTTAAAAGCAAATAGAAATCCATGTAAACGTATTATGTCTTCACGGAAACGTTTCCGAGACAATCTCCATTAACAGTACAAAAATGTAATAGAATACGATTACAAATGTAATAGAATAAAAGTACAAATGTAATAGAATACAAGTACAATCAAAAGAGAAAGAACAACATCTGAACAAAATTTATTTTGTTAAGAACTGTAGGAGTTATTAACATGAGGTTTCCGTCGAAAAATATGCAGCTATTTCCAATGCTTATTCCCGAACCACCAGACGTAGAACATCGTATTTTGAAATCATTCTCAGACATTTCACTGTTCAGCGTAAAAGCACATCGCAGAGTGAGACGTGTTGGCAAGTGGCAAATTCGAACGAAAGCTCCTGCCGCAGTGTTCGGCCATCCGGATGTCGAAGCTATGTGACGTCATTCCGACGTACGCTGTTGCGCAGCGCGCACAAGTGTATTCATAAACCTTCATAGGCCGCACCTTCCGAATTCCGAATTGAGACCTTCAACCCCTTGTGGGTGATGTTTAATTCGAGACTGAATAATTGAGACCTTCCGCCTTGCTGGCGATGATATATTTTGACCTTTGGTGCGAAATAGCTTGATAGTTGAAGCGCTAGCAAACCATTATACTACTACTACTTCTTAGGCTGCACCGGGGTAAGAATAGCATCTATATACCTTATAAGAAGGCACCTATATTGAAATTACTCGCCAGTAAAACATGTATATTAACATTCTCAAAATATTTCGGAAATAGGATCTTCAATTCTCTGAGATAATTAAAGAAATGACACGCGTGTGAGGGATAGTTTTAAATTAGAAATATGTCTCCAAGATATCTATGGTAAAAATTTTCTTGAAAAGAAGACTGACGTAGTGGTTCCGACTGACCTAGTGGTCAGTCGGAACTTCAACTTTTACAACAAGCTTTTGGAATGATCAGTTATGAACCCCTTTTTTCTATTTACCGTAAAATTAGGAAAATTTTGTCGGCTTAGGCATCGGCCTTATCATTGGTTGGTTCTTTCACCAGATATAAGGATATTATTCATTCACTGTATTCGGTTTCCCTGCTGTGTGAATACAGTTGTGCGCGTTACGCATCAGCATGCGTCGTGACGATGTCGCGTAACTTTTGCATCCGAGTTTCTGAACAACGTGGCAGTAATTATCGCTCGAATCTGTCGCTTGCCCATCCGCCTCACTCCGCTTTGGGTCTTCACACTGAACAGTTCTACGTGACTGCGTCTGGTAGCGAAATACACTCGGTTCCACACCTGGTGATTCGGATTCAAGGATTTTGGAATCGCTGCATACTATTTAAAATGAAATCTTGCCCTAACAACGTATACAGTTCACATCCTCTTGAAATTCTCAAGCGATAATTTTTTACGTTCCGTTGTCAGTTTTTCCTTACATAAAATTCAATTTCGTTCATGAAGACTAAACGTTTATCAATTGAATGCACTTTTTCTTTAATTTTCGAACTGACAATGGAGTTGTTCTCCATAATAGAATGTATAACGTATTCATTGACGATACATTGAAGATATTATACACGTGATGATGATTTTAAATGGCATTTTGATTTTCGCTGACCAAAGACTTAACTATTTATTTATTTTACGCTAGGTCAATCGCCGAGGAGCGTCGAGGTCACGGGGTACACGGGAGCTTCAAGACCGGCGCCTTNACGGCAGCGTTGTAAGTTGTCGTACACGGCAGCGTCGTAAGGCTATCGTATAAGTTGTCGTACACGGCAGATCGTGCAGCACCTGCAGGACGTGGCGGCAGCGTACGACATCGTGACGCTGCGGAGCGTCGGCCAGACGTACGAGGGCCGGGAGCTGTACGTGGTGACCATCAACACCACAGCCAACGCCACACCCGCCATATGGATCGACTGTGGCATCCACGCCAGGGAGTGAGTGGCATGGCTGTGGCGTTACTCTCTTGAATTACCATATAGCATTCCATATAACATATTATAATTTCCATCGGATATCAGGAACGTACACTGACAAAAATGGGTGGGTCTGGATGACCCACTTAAATAAGTCAGCCGCGTCCAAATTGCGATAAACTTTTTGACTCACTTGTGACGTCGACTCGTGAGTCATACATGAAATTTAAAGGGCCAGTAATAGGTCAGGATGACCCACAAATTGGGCAAGTGAGTCAAAAAAGTGCATCGCAATTTGGGCGCATTTGACTCATCTAAGTGTGTCATCCAGACCCACACATTTCTCTCAGTGTAAGTACAATGCAATCAGTTATCGCTCACCGTTTAATACATAAATGTGTGCGTCATATTATACTGACGGGGGTTATAAATAATATGGTGGGGGTTGGGGTTATATTCCAACCCCTAAGGGAGTTAAGGTTATATTCCAACCCCTAAGTGGGGTTAGGGGTTATACTCCAACCCCTAAGGGGGGTTAGGGGTTATATTCCAACCCCTAAGGGGGGTTAGGGGTTATATTCCAACCCCTAAAGGGGTTAGGGGTTATATTCCAATACATATTCCGACAAGTATCACAGATATTCTTTTTTCCAGGCTGAAAAGAGTATGAAAAAAACACTTAAAACCCAAAATTGCCTCCATTTTTGGAAAAGTGCAGCTTATCTCCCTGAGTGTACAGATGGATCGCCCCGGCCACCTGCCTGTGGATGTTGTCCGCCCTGACCGCCCAGTACGGCGTGGACGCGACCATCACGGCGCTGGTGGACAGCCATCGCATCCATATGATGCCTGTGGCCAATCCTGATGGATATGTCTACTCGTGGACCGATGTGAGCCAATCAGTGTTACATATGTAGTGTTGGCCATAATCATGAGTATTACATATGTAATTTACTGATAATTATTATTTTTTATTATTACGTTCACTATTCAACCATGATTTCATTAATATTCAGTTTCTATATTGCCTTTGTATTCAACTTTAATTTACTCTAACTATTTCACTCAACTAATCAATCCACTAATGAGTGTGAGTTAATTAATCATCATTATACATCAAAGTCCTAAATTCACCGTTGTTCCACCGTTATTTTGCCGTTAATTCACCGTTATCTTACTGTTGATTAGTCGTTATTTTACTGTTGATTAGTCGTTATTTTACTGTTGATTTACTGTTGATTAGTCGTTATTTTACTGTTAATTTTTGATAACTCACTGTTTTTTCACCGTTAATATACCTCAATTTTCTCGGTTATTCGCCATTGATTAACCGTTGGCTTGCCGTTAAATCACCGTTTATATAGCGCTATTTCACAGTTAATTCACTTTCATTTCACCGTTCACAGTTAATTTACTTTCATCATATTTCAGCGTTAACTCGCCGTTTTTTCACCGTTAATTTACTTCTAGTTCCCCGGTATTTCACCGTTAATTTAGCACTATTTCACAGTTAATTGACCGTTGATTTACTTTAATTTCAAAGTTATTTTGCCGTTAATTAACCGGTAATTAACCGTTATTCCTCCGTCCATTCATTGTTATTTCACTGTCAATTCACCATTATTCCACCGTTAATTCACCTTTATTCCACCGTCAATTCACCATTATTCCCCCGTCAATTCACCGTCATTCACCGTCCATCCATCGTCAATTCACCATTATTCCACCGTCAATTCACCATTATTCCCCCGTCAATTCACTATTATTCACCCGTCAATTCACCGTCATTCACCGTCCATCCATCGTCAATTCACCATTATTCTACCGTCAATTCACCGTTATTTCACCGTTAATTTACTTCCATTTCACCGTTATTTGGCCGTTATTCCACCGTTATTCCCCCGTCAATTCACCGTCATTCCACTGTCAAATCACCGTCAATTCACCATTATTTCACTGTTATTCCACCGGTAATCCACCGGTATTCCCCCAGGACCGGCTGTGGCGCAAGAACCGCAACCCGCTGGGGGGCGGCGGCTGCGCGTACCTGGGGGAAATAGGGGCGTCCAACCTGACCTGTGCCAGCGCCTATCATGGTACGTGCTGGTACCTATCATGGTACGTGGTGGTACCTAGCATGGTACGTGCTGGTACCTGGGGGGGCATAGGGGCCTCCAACCTGACCTGTGCCAGCACCTATCATGGTACGTGCTGGTACCTATCATGGTACGTGCTGGTACCTAACATGGTACGTGGTGGTACCTAGCATGGTACGTGGTGGTACCTAGCATGGTACGTGGTGGTACCTATCATGGTACGTGNGACGGAAATGTTGTCGTACACATACATGCACAGGCCTTCAGGAGCACCGGAAATGCAGAAATGGGCGCCGGAAATACGGAAACAGACACCGGAAATGCGGAAGTCGACACCGGAAATGCGGAAGCAGACACCGGAAATGCGGAAGTCGACACCGGAATTGCGGAAACGGGCACCGGAAATGCGGAAGCAGACACCGGAAATGCGGAAACGGACCCTAAGGATGCGGCCGCTACAGAGGGCGAGGCCCTGAGAAGAACAAAGGACGCTGGGGGACTGGCGGCTTCCTTCAGCATCCACTCATATGGCAGCTTATGGCTCTATGCTTATGGCTACACCAGCGCCCTGCCCCCCGACCATCTGGAGATGGTGCGTGCTCAGGGAGGGTGGGGGTTAGATTCCAACATCTGATGGGGTTAGGGGGTTATATTGAAGGTTAATGGGGGTTAGGGGTTAAATTCCAACCCCTGATGAAGGGTTAGGGGGTTATATTCCAACTCCATGGGAGGTTAAAGGTTCCAATCCAGCCCATGATGGAGGGTGGGGTTGTATTCTAACCCCTGATGGGGATAGGTTAGGTTATGTTGATGTTTATGATGATGAAATGAACATTTTGCCGAAAGGTGCGAGGTATTAACAATTAATTTTTCTCACAATTAATAAAACTCATCCTACTCTTAAGTGGTACTCAGAATCACTCATAATTATTACTCATAATCCCGCCACCACCCCTGATGGGGGGTTAAAGGTTGTATTCTAACCCCTGATGGGGATAGGTTAGGTTATATTCATGTGTATGATGATGAAATGAACGTTTCGCTGAAATGTGTGATGTATTAACAATTGATTTTTCTCACAATTAATAAAACTCATCCTACTCATAACTGTCACTCATAATTACTCAAAGTGCGATTACCTCATAATTACCTCAGGAGCGCGTGTCGGCGGCGGGGGTGGCGGGAATAGCGGCGGTGAACGGCAGCGTCTACACGGCGGGCCCTCACTACACCACCATTTGTGAGTC